ACCTCGAAGCGGGCGCTCAGGCTCTGCTGCGAGCAATGACCGTGGCCTGTCATGAAGCATTTCCCCGACGCACACATGCTCACCGGGCCTCCCAGCTCTGGTGGAATGATGCATGTGATACGGCCCGCACCGGTGTCCAGGCAGCTCATACTCGTGAGGAGCGGCGCGACGCCAAAGCCGCACTCTCGGCCATCATCCGACAAGCTCAGAAGGACTGGACTCAGGAGGCGGTCGCGTGACTCCAGCACACCAATTCCTGGCGACTCGCCTCCTGGACCAAAGGAGTGCGGGCGTCCCCACTACCAGTCATCTGCACGGACGGGGAAACTGGTTCTCTCCCAGCTGACGAGGGTCGTCTACTCACGCATTTCTATTTTCTGGCGTCTCCGCCTTTACCTGATTTGCTTCCTCTCTTTACCTCTACGCCTCCAGCAGCGCACTCAGACCGCCCCCTCCTTATCACTGAAGTAACTGCCGCCATCGAGGCTGCATCTAATTATTCAGTGCCTGGCATCTCCAGAGTGTCGTGGCGGCTCCTAAAATGGGTCTGGCGGTCTGGTGCGCGTCATGCTCTTTTTTTTTTCTTTCCTCTTCTTTGCACCTGGGTTACCTCCCCGCCCTACTTCGGGCTGCGGCGGTTGTGTACTTGCCCAAACCGGGCAAGGCGGATTACACCGCACCCAAGTCCCACTGACCAATTGCACTCTTGGAAACCTTGAGCAAGGTCCTAGAAAAAGTGGTTGCTGCTCATTTCAACTTTCAGATCGGTGCTCACAATCTTGTGCCCGGCTCACAGTTTGGTGGGCGGGGCCAACATTCTGTCGTGGATGCGGGAGTCACTCTGATGCACCGTGTATGCACTGCCTGGGAAAACGGTTTCTCTGCTACCTTACTGTGCATGGACGTCGAGGGCTATTACAATAACATTCGCCACGACGTCCTTCACTCTGCTCTCCTTTCTTTGGGTTTTCCCACAAATGAGGTCCTGTGGACCTTGTCCTTCCTTTCTTCACGCACCGTGTGGCTCAAACTCAATTCAGAGCTGGGTCCATCATACCACGTCGCTGCGCTCGGCATCCCACAGAGATCACCTCTGTCGCCAGTCCTCTCTACTATATACTCTTCCCCGCTGTATGTGAACCTTGATCCATTCGTGCATCCCCAGCAGTCTACGATGGGCTACGTAGATGATTTTGCCCTCCTTATTGTTTCTCCCTCGCTGAACGAGAACACGGCCATCATCCAACGCACTCTACCGAGTGTGGGCACCATGCTTCACCAGCTTGAACTGACCATTGACATGGCGAAAACTGAGCTTATGCACTTTACCTTCCCGAGACACTCCCTTGATGTCAACCCTCCCCTGCGGGTTCAGTGGGATGGGCGGGATATCACCACTCAACCTGCTTCATATCTGCGATGGCTCAGCATCTGGTACGACTGACGCCTAACCTTCACCCACCACATTCGGGTCATGGCAGCCAGGGCTTCATCCCGTGTTGCCGCTTTCTGCATGCTCGCCAACACACAGCGAGGCATGACAGTCGTGCAAGCCCGCTTGCTATACCTTACCACCATCCTTCCCGTACTCACCTTCAGTAGCCCCATGTGATATAACCCGCGGGGCCCACACTCACTCTTTCAACCTTTGCAACAGGTACAAAATGACGCACTGCGGTGGTTCATGGGAGCATGGCGGTCTACCCCCCACCACGTCCTCAACCTCATATCCAGCGCCCTGCCAATGAGACACCAGCTCGACAAGCTCAATGGCCTTGCCGCAGCTCGCCTCCTCACCCTCTCGGAGTCCCACCCGGTGACCCACTGCCTGGCGGCCAACCGCACTACCGACCCACCCAACTTCTCCCTCCTCAACCCCACCATCCCTATCCACCACGGCACCAGCACAGTGGATGTGCTCGAACAAACCCTGCCCAAGCGAGCGGCATGCCTTCTCCCCTGGTTGCAGCCGCCCTGGGATCCTGCGCATCTGTGGGGTGAGAGGGTTCACGTCTGCGTCCCTCCGCCTACCAAAGACGGCTCCAAGGAGTACTTACATTCCTTTTTCTTCCCTCTTTTGCACTCTTCCATCCCTCTCCCCGATGCCCTATGGGTCTTCACAGATGGCTCCCAAATCGCCCAGCCTGACCCCGCCCCACGGAACCGACGAGCAGGTGCAGGTGCGTGTATCATTCACCAGGGTGCGATAAAGTACGAGTGGGCTTGGGGCATGGGCCACCAGGCTGAGGTGTATGACGCAGAACTCTTCGCAATGGCAGCAGTCACAAGCCGCTTTGCCAGTTTTCTGGCGACCTACCCCATGATTACTCACATTTACCTCTGCGTGGACAACCGTGCTGCCCTGTCCAATGTCCTGTCGCTGAGCCCACACAGTGGCCAGCCCTTTTCTCTTCACTTTCGGGCACTTCTCGCTCCTCTCATGGAGCAATACCCACTTCTAAACATTTCTTTGCTATGGGTTCCTGGGCATACGGGTGTACTGGGTAACGAGGTGGCGGACCGGCTAGCCAAGGAAGGCACGTCCCTACCTGATAGTGTCCTACCCACCTTGACGTGGATCCAGCGCTGGACACATGAGTGAGCGACCACCTCCTGGCAAACCGAGTTCCGTTACACCGATCGACCCACTGCAATATGGTCCTCGTGGCTGTCCCTGCCTGCCCAGACGCTACACCCTGTTTTCACTTCTAAATATTATGAACGCGACGTCGAAGCCAGGTTAACCCAAGCCTTAACGGGCTACGGCTACCTGGCCCCTTACTTTTCTTCTCAATTTGGGACGGCGGGCCCTGCTCGTCACTTCCATGGCACACCCTGTGTATGCGATCTAACCACCCCCAGCACCCGCACCCACGTCATGCTGCGCTGCCCGAGACACGTGCACGCAAGGCACCTGCTCTTCCGGAACCCCAAGCCCACCCTCCTGGATTTACGTCGGCTTTGGCACCACCCCACCGGCCTCCACTGCCTCATCGCTTTCATTTCTGCTACACCCGTTTTCTCCGCTGCGGCCCTCGTGCCCCCCGGACCCTGGCTGATATGCCTTACCCTCGCGGCACTTACGTGACTGACCCCCTTGTTTACTCATAGTCTACACGTCGACACTTCCTCGTGCGGTTTCACTCCTGTATTTACACCCTTCCAACTGCGCATAGCGCGGTATAGAAATAAATGTACAAAAAAAAAAAGGTAATTGGCGAGCTAATGTTAGCACAGGTGAAATATCTGAAATATGAAATAGGAACCAAAGTCTTGGATCACAGATCCTGAGGTTAGAACTTGAGAATAATAGAAGCTGTCCTCGGTCACATAGTGACCTAACAGTTGTCCTCGATCACATAGTGACTAGTGACCGTGATTGGGCATCTCTTCTAGGTGCTTGTTCATGAGGATCACATGACCATGAGTGACGGCATGTTTCGTAACACAAGCTTCCCTCTCCAACCGCCAAGACCCTTTGGCAATTAAACCATAAGATCTTCTCTTCTTTGTCTGTGCTTCCATTTCGAAGAAGGAAGTATTCTTGAAACAGTATGCACGGGGCTGGCCGTGGAGACGTGTGATTCAGTCAAAGATTTATCATTCATGCCGGTGCCTGAGTGTTCTGATGCAGGACCATCCAGAGACGGGTATTTCTTCTCAACTTGATCAGCCCAAGAATGCTGATTGGCACTTGATGAGTCAGAATCACTGTTAAACAACTCGACGATGCGTCCACTTCGATGCACTTGAGGAATTGAGGTACTCGGAAGGTTGTTTCTTATTGCTTCCAGTGCTTGGATTCGAGGAATCAATACTGGAGTTTCATGCATATGCCGGCTTGGGATGCTTAGGTGACAGCAAATCTGGGATTCGCCCTGCATTCCATCGTTCAGTCTTTTGCAAGGGTCGCACCTGTGGGTTGATACTCCCTGAAGAGTTGGATGTCCTTATCCTTTCACGGCATTCATGTTGCTGATGTCTAATCTGCCCACAGTTCCAACATTGACCAGGGAATTGGTTATGTCGTGGTTGCACATGACGAGAGTCTTCTCGCATGCCCTTGAATGGCTGATTGATCCATCGATTAATTGAAGGCGACGACTGCTGGTCTGTTGTCGACTGCTGCCATTGCATCTTCTTCTTTCTGCCTTTCTTGTTAGGGCATTTTCTAGGCAAGCTTTCTTCTGAAGAGGAAGATGTAGAAGACATGGCACTGTCATCGTCTTTTTGCTGACTGTTGTCAAACTTCCTTTAAATGAGGACCTTAATGCCACGCCATTCTTTTTGACTAAGATCGAGCAATGTCATCAGTACTTTCTTCCATATTGATGTAGGAAAGTCCATCTGGTTTGCTTGAGATGAATGAGTACGAATGGTGCCAATCCAAATGGTGTTCATGCCAAGAACATGCTGAGACATTCGGTTAATATCCATAGGTTCGTCCTCATCTTCTTCGACTTCCTTTTTCTTCTGATGGATGGGTTGGTTTTGACTACCACTACCGAGTCTGAGGAGGAGGTAGGTGAGTCTTGTATTGACCAATTTCGTGACTAACTGTTTGATCTGCTTCCGCATTTTCTTCGTGATCGACGAACCTTCCAAGGGTTTTTTTGATCCGATAGATGGCTTCTTTGGGCTTGCCTTCTTTTTGTTAATTGAAGAAGTCTTCTTCTTCTTCTTTGGTTTGATGATTGGCACTGTTCGGCTGATGTTCGGACTCTTTGCAGGACATTTGTCCATTTCATGCCCTGTCTTTCTGCACTTGTAGCATAAGTGTTCCTTAACTGGAAGGCTCCGAATATGCCATAGTCATTGTGTCCGATCAATGTCCATCGCATTTGGGTCATCTATATTCATTGAATTTTCATCATCCACTGAATCGTCCTGATTCGCATGTGTGATAAAATTGAAGATATTGCTTTTCCCTTTATGGACATTTCAGAGGTACGTGGATTCGATTGTGACATGTTCCATCGAATCCTAGGACTCGTGACAGCATGTTGCAGGACAAGACACGTGATGAAGCATCAAGAGCACCTCATCCTGTGACCACCATCATCTTCCCTCGCTCGCAACATGAGCTCAGACACTCTTTCGATTCCTCATTCCCTCCCTCCATTTCGCTATGCTCCTTAATCTCTCACATGGACAACCTCCCCCCTGGCTCCTTCTTCGCTTTGCCCGGTGCCCTCGCTGAACCCTCGGGGCTCACCGCTGTCCCCCTTCTGCTGCCCAGCCTGCAACTGAACTCAGGGGCTTTCCAGTTTGAGGAGGAGATGATTTTGCCTGGGGTGGATGATGTACTGCCCACCACTTCAGATCTCCACATGATCGACCCCAGTGACATCATTCCCCCTCCTCTGAGGTGTCCGCGGGTCCCCCGCATAGTCCCCGCATCTGACCGCTGTACGTGGTCCACTTCTTGCCCCACTGCATCTCCCTCCAACCAGCCTGACGCCTCCACTGATGCACGTCGAGACAATGGCATATCGTCGGCTCCTGTCACCCTGGCATGGGCTAGCCACCACTGCTCGGTCAAACCTGCGGAAGTGCGTCCGTCCAAGCGTGCTCAGAAAGGAAAGTTGTGGGCCCCTGCCACTGTGCCCTCTTTCCCCCTGGCTGTCATTCCGCACTCCTCACCACGGCCCGGTGACCTTTCCCCTCCATCACCTCCTGGTAGGGGGCTGTCACAGTATTAAGTGGCACCTTTCTTTTTGCA